TCCTGCTTGACTATGCAGGTATGGTTGTATGTGGTTCATTCCAGGGTCCCTGGCACAGTGTTCAGTAACTCCATGAATGAATAAGACCAGGTGATGCAATGCCCTGATATAACGTTCTCTCTATGAGCGGTGAGGTCATGCTGGCCAGAGGGGGAACTGCATCAGCCTTTTGGGAAAGCAGTCTGGCATAGGTATCAAAACCCTTCAGAATTATTCTGCCATTAGTCTAAGGAAAGACACCTAAAATCAGAAAAAGCCTTCTCCACAAAGCTTCCTGCTCATTAAAGTGTTATTTATTTATCATGGCAATTGTGGAACATGGGAAACAACAAAAATGGGGGAAATTAGTTACGGTCCATCCAGTCAGAGAACATTGTGCAGCCACTTAATCCAGGTCTGCACAGAGCCTGCAGTCACATGAGCAATGCTTACTAGTTAAGTGAAGTGGTAAATGTAGGTAGTATTCAGTAAAATTTTAACCAAGTGCATAGAGGAAGCTTTTTCTTCCAAAAATGTCTAGCAATATTTTTGCTGAGACTATTTTTCTAAAATTTTCATAGTGAATATATATATTAATTTCATAATAGTAAAATATGAAAACCAGTTTTTTTCATATTTTAGGGCAGTGCAGTGGCCAAGATGGTGCTATAGAAAGACCTTGAGGACCCTGAGCTTGCCTCCTGCCACGAGCCCCCCAAAATTACAACTATTTATTTGTTTAAAAGATTTATTCATTATTTATTTATTTATTTTATTTTTGGCTGTGTCAGGTCTTAGCTGTGGCACATGGGATCTTCATTGAGGCATGTAGGATCTTTCTTTGTGGCTCACGGGCTTCTCTCTAGTTGTGGTGGGCAGATTTTCTCTCTCTGGTTGTGGTGCTTGAGCTCCAGGGTGTGTGGGCTCTGTAGTTTGTGGCACGCAGGTTCTCTAGTTGAGGCGCGTGAGCTCAGTAGTTGTGGTGTGCGGGCTTAGTTGCTCCGTGGCATGTGGGATCTTAGTTCCCTGACCAGGGATCGAACCCACGTCCCCTGCATTGTAAGGCGGATTCTTTACCACTGGACCACCAGGGAAGTCCCCCAAATTACAACTGTTTACAGAGAAATTATTGATGACAAAAACTGGAAGACTAGAGGAAAAGAAATTCTTTAACTAAATACATAAAGAAGGAATCACAGTACAGGGAACTCGACTCAATATTCTGTGATAACCTACATGAGAAAAGAATCTGAAAAAGAATGAATATATGTGTATGTGTAACTAAATCACTTTGCTGTACACCTGAAACTAACACAACATTGTAAATCAACTCTACTCTAATAAAATTAAAAAGACAAAAACCCCCAAACAACAACAACAACAAAACAAAAGAAACAAAAAATATTTGCTTAATTGTCTTTGGACTAAATGTTAAATGGCATTATGTTTAAAGAATAAAATACATTTAGTTCACAGTTAAATTATATCAACTCAAAAACAAAAAAACAACTAAACCAGCAACAACAAAGAAGGAACCACAGTGAGATGGTAGGAGGGGCAGAGATGCAGTATAGTCAAGACCCATACCCCCGGGTAGGTGACCCACAAGTGGAAGAATAATTACAATTATAGAGGTTCTCCCCAAGGAGCGAGGGGTCTGAGACCCACACTGGGCTCCTGAACCAGGAAGACAAACCCTCACAATGTTTGCCTTTGAAGGCCCGTGGGACCTACTTTAAGAAGAGCCAGAGAGCTGTGGGAGATGGAGACTCCACTCCTAAAGGGCGCACACAAAACCTCACACTGCTTGCCTGGGGCAGAAGCAGTGATTTGAAAGGAGGCTGGGTCAGACCTGCTCATCTTGGAGAGTCTCCTGAAGGCAAGGGGCAACTGCAGCTCCCCCTGGGGACACGGACACTGGTGGCAGCCATTTGGGGAGCTTGTTGACCAAGTGGACACTGGGGCTGGGGGCTGCCATTGTGGAATCCTCCCTCTAGCTCATTAGTGCCAAGACCTCAACAGCCTGTCGCTGCCAGTGCTGGGACATCTCAGGCCAAGCAACTGCTAGGTGGGGACACAGCCCCACCCACCATCAGGAGGCTGCCTTAAGACCCCCCAGACAGCTGCCCTAGGACCTGGCTCTGTCCACCAGAGGACCTGGAACCCAGCCTCACCCACCAGTGAGCTGGCACTAGCCTCAGGAACCCCTGGGACCAGCCCACACCCACCAACAGGCCAACGCCAACCTTGGAAATCCCCAGGCCCTGCCTACCAGCAGGTTGACACCAGCTCTGAGACACCTTGGGAACCCAGTTCTGCCCACAGTGAGCCAGCAATAGCCCCAGGACACCCTGAGATCCAGCCCCACTCACCAACAGGCCAAAGCCAGGTTTGGGACACCCCAGACCCTGCAGTTTGGGACACCCCAGACCCTGCGGCCGTGTCAGGAACTGGCCCCACCCATCAAGCTAGATACACTAGAAGGAACATCAGTAGATCAGATGATACAGAGACATGGATCAGCAAGCTGGAAGACAGAGTAGTGGAAATCACTGATGCTCAACAGGAAAAAGAATGAAAAGAAATGAGGGCAGTTTAATCTGGGACAACATCAAGCATATTAACGTCCACATTACAAGGGTCCCAGAAGGGGAAGAGAGAAAGGGGAAGAAAACATATTTGAAGGCATAATAGCTGAAAATTGCCCTAATCTGGGAAAGGAAACAGACATCCAGGTACAAGAAGCACTGAGAGACCCAAGCAGGATCAACCAGTGAGGGCCACACCAAGACACATTGTCATTAAAATGATAATGGGATGAGAAGATATTAAAAGCAGCAAGGGAAAAGCAACAAGTAACATACAAGGGAACTCCCAGAAGGCTATCAGCTGACTTTTGAGCAGAAACTCTTCAGGCCAGAGGGTGTGGCACAATATATTTGAAGTGAGGAAAGGGAAAACATACAACCAAAAATACTCTACCCAGCAAGGCTCTCATTCAGATCTGCTGGAGAGATCAAAAGCTTTACAGACAAGTAAAAGCTAAAGGAATTCTGCACCACCAAACCAGCTTTACAACAAATGTTAAAGGGAGTTCTCTAAGCAAAAAAGAAAAGGTCACTACTAGAAACATGAAAATTATGACAGGAAAAAAGCTCATAGGTAAAGGTAAATATACAGTAAAGGTAGTAAGTCAACCACATACAAAGCTAGTAGGAGGGTTAAAAGACAAAAGGAGTTAAATCCATAATAAGTAGTCAAGGGATATACAAAACAAAAGGATATAAAATATGATGTGGAAAATAGTAAATGGGTGGGGGGAGTAAAAATGCAGTGTTGTTAAAATACATTTTAGCTTATGAGATCAGCAACTTAAAATAATCATGTATATATATGTATGTATATATGTATGATTATGTATTATATATCATGTATATGTATGATTATATACATGATTATATGTATGATATATGACATACATATCTACATAGCAATATATAAACCTCACGGAAACCACAAACCAAAAATCTATAATAGATACACACAGAGAAAAATAAAGGAATCCAAACATAACGCTAAAGATAGTCATCAAATCACAAGGGAAGAGAACAAAAGAAGAAGAAAGGAACAAAAAGAACTACAAAACAACCCAAAGACAATTAGCAAAATGACAATAAGGACATACCTATTAACAATTATTTTAAATGTAAAGGGCTAAATGATATATATATACAATGGAATATTACTCAGCCATAAAAAAGAATGAAATCTTGCCATTTGCTACAACATGAATGGACCTAGAGGGTATTATGCTAAGTGAAATAAGTCAGACAGAGAAAGACAAATACTGTATGATTTCCGGTGGAATCTAAAAAACACAACAAATGAACAAACAGAACAAAACATCAACAAAGTTATAGATACAGAGGACAAGCAGGTGGTTGCCTGAGGGTCAGGGGTGGGGGGAGGAAAGACATAGGTGAGAGAGATTAAGAGGTACAAACTTCCAGTCACAAAATAAATGAGTCACGGATATGAAATGCAACTCCTGACCAGTTTTGTTTCCCTTCCTGTACTATTTTGAAGCAAACCTCAGACAAATATGGTTTCCTCTGAAAATATTAATTTTTTAAAAAAGTTTTGATCCAAATGTCCCTGATCACTATGCCAGGGAAGCCAGTCAGGAGAACACCCCTGCACATAGAGATGACTCTGAAGGAAGAGGGCTCAGGTGCCTCTCTCGCGCCCCGGGGAGGCAATTTGACTCAAGTGATGCTCATGCAAACAGCCACCCGGGTGCTCTGTGCTTTTCTGCAGGCACTGCTGTCCTGGCGGTGAGGCTTCCTGGCAAGACATCGCTCTGTCTTCCTTTCCCAGAGCCCTGGGTTTAAATTCCCTGTTTAACAGCTGTGTGTCTCTAGGAAAGAGTATCAACCGCTGGGAGGTTTCCCCAGCAGTAAAACAGGAATAGGAGTATCTACTACAGAGAGTTGCTGACAACGTGAAACCTGATAAACCTAAACTGTAGGACTTCGTTCCAGTCTCTGTTCCAACATCCCCTCCTCAGAGAGGCCAGCCCGATCTGCCCTTTTACCTAAAGCAGCGGCTCCATCACTCTCTTTCTCCTCTTTCCCTGCAGTGTTTTCCTTC